TGGGTAACAAGAGCGAAACTCCGTCCCAAAAAAAAAAAAAAAGGAAAAAAAAAAAAGGTAGTGTGGTATTGGCAAAAGAAAAGACAAATAGACCAATGAAACAGAATACAGAGCCCAGAAACAGACTCACAAAAATATAGACAACGGGTCTTTGACAAAAGAGTAATGACTCAATATAATGGAGAAGAGTTTCTTTTTTATTCTTTTCTTGAGACACAGTTTCACTCTGTTGCCCAGGTTGGAGTGCAGTGGTGCAATCACGGCTCACTGCCACTTCAATCTCCCAGGCCCAAGCAATCTTCCCACCTCAGCCTCCCAAATAGCTAGGACCATAGGTGTGTGCCCCCATACCCAGTTAATTTTTTATATTTTTTGTAGAAATAGGGTCTTGCCATTTTGCCTAGGCTGGTCTTGAACCCCTGGTCTCAAGCGATCTTCTCGCCTTGGCCCCACAAAGTGCTGTGATTACAGGCATGAGGCACCACACCTAGCAAGAAAAGAATTTTTTAACGAATTGTGCTGGAACAACTGGATATCTACATGTTAAAAAAAAAAAAAGATAAACTTATAGCCTTCACAAAAATAAACTCAAATGAATCATAAATCTAAATGTAAAATGCAAAACTATAAAATTCCTAGAAGAGAACAGAAGAAAAAATCTAAATGGACTTGGATTTGAAGATGACTATTTAGATACAATATCAAAGGCACAATCCATGAAAGAAAGAATTGATAAACTGGACTTCACTAAAATAAAAAATTTCTGCTCTGTGAAAGATACTGTCAACAGAATAAAAAGAAAAGCCAAGGTTGGAAAACAATATATATTTTGCAAAAGACATCTCCGATACAGGTCTGTTGCCCAAAATACACGAAGAACTCTGAAAAGCCAAAAATAAGAAAACAAACAACTTGATTATAAATGGTCAAGGACCTTAACAGATACCTCAACAAAGAAGATATACAGATGGCAAATATACAAAAGCACACAAAAGGATGCTCCACATCATATGTCATCAGTGATATGCAAATTAAAACAACAATGAGATACCACTATACACCTATTAGAATAGTCAAAATTCACAATACTGACACCACCAAATGATGGCAATGATATTTAGCAACAGGAATTCATCGTTGGTGTGAAGAAAAAATGGTACGGTCACTGTGGAAGACAGTTTGGCAGTTTCTTATAAAACTAAACATAATTTTATTTTACCATATTTATTTATTTACCCAAAGGAGCTGAAAACTTATGTGCACACATAAGTTTTCCATGGATGTTTACAGCAACTTTATTCATAACTGCCAAAACTTAGAAGCAACCAACGTCGACCTTCAGTAGGTTAATGGACAAATAGCTTGATAGCTCATTTATTTTACATGCTGAATATTATTCAGTTGTCTGTGGTATGGTTCATGCCTGTAATCCCAGAACTCTGGAAGGACAAGGCAGGCGATCACATGAGGCCAGGAGTTCAAGACCAGACTAGCCAATGTGGTGAAACCCCGTCTCTACTAAAAGATGCAAAAATTAGCCAGGCATAGTGGCGGGTGCTGGTAATCCCAGCTACTCAGGAGGCTGAGGCAGGAGAATAGCTTGAACCTGGGAGGTGGAGGTTGCCGTGAGCCAAAATCGCACAACTGCACTCCAGCCTGGGCAACAAAGTGAGAGAGATTCCATCTCAAAAATAAATAAATACATAAAACTGGCCGTGGTACATCCAGATAAATGAATAATATTCAGCACATAAAATAAATGAACTATCAAGCCATGAAAAGATATGAAGGAAAGGGAAATGCACATTACTAAGTAAAAGCAGTCAGTCTGAAAAGGCTACATCCTGTATGATTCTAACATATGACATTCTGGAAAAGGGAAAACTATGGAGATAGTAAAAAGATCAGTGATTTCCAGGAGTTAGTCAGGGAGGGAGGGATGAACAGATGGAGCACAGAGTATTTCTTCGGGGGGGCAGTGAAACTACTCTGTATGATACTATAATGGCAGATGCACCTCACTGTACATTTGTCTACACCCACGGAATGTACACCACCAATATTGAACCCTAATGTAAACTATCAACTTTGGGTGATAATGTGTCAACATAGGTTCATCAACTGTAACAAATGTACCCTTTCTGGTGGGGGATGATGATAGTAGGGGAGGCTATGCCTGTGGGGAGAAAGGAGTTGATGGAAAATCTTCAGACTTTTAGTTCAATTTTGCTGTGAACCTAAAACTGCTTTGAAAAATGAGGTCTTTTTATATATGCAGGTGTTTGTTCACTGTAGCACTATTCACAACAGCAAAGACATGGAATCAACCTAAATGCTCATCAATGGTAGACTGGATGAAGAAAATGTTGTACATATACACCATGGAATACTGTGTGGCAATAAAAAGGAAATAAGATCCTGTCTTTTGAGGGAACATGGATGGAGCTGGAGTCCATTATCCCTAGTAACTAACAAAGGGACAGAAACCAAATACCAGATGTTCTCACTTATAAGTGGGAGCTAAATCATGAAACCACATGGACACATAGAGGGGAACAGCACACACTTGGGTCTACTGGAGGGTGAAGGGCGGAGGGTGGAAGGAGGGAGAGGATCAGAAAAAAAAACTAATGGGTACTAGGCTTAATACCTGGGTGACAAAATAATCTGTACAACAAACCTCCATGACACCAGTTTACTTATATAACAAACCTGCACATGTACCCCTGAACTTAAAAGTTAAAAAAATAAATTTTGAAGTGAAAGGGAAATCTAGATAGATATATAGTCTTTTTCAAAAAAAAAAATCACTGGATTTGATTACATAAACATTAAAAATTATATGAGAAAAACTGCAAAATTAAAAGATAATATATTGGAAAAATATTCATAACAAATGGCAAGAAAAAAATCTCTAACATATAAGACCTTATAAGTCAAGAGAAATAGATATAAATCCCCTAGAAATGGGGGGAAAGGATATTGCTTCAGACTGCTACTTGAACCCTAAAATCCATTCTTCCTTCCATCCATAGTAGCAGATTTTCAGCTGGGCACATGGCCACCCAGCTAAAGTTACAGCTTCTCTTGCAGTTAGGTGTGGCCATGTAACTTAAATTCTTGCCAAAGAATGTGAGCTGAAGTAATGTGTACAACTTATTTTTCACTTAGTAGCGAATTACTGTACTTGCCTTCAATTTTTTCTCTTTCTTTCTTAACCAGAAGATGAAATATGGATTGGAGATAATTTGGTTTTGTTACCTCAGGTAAAGATAACACCAGAGGATGATGGAACAACATGATTTAAAGAACCTGGGTCTCTAAATGATGATCAGAGTCACTCAACAGCTAGAACTGCTTACTTATGTGAGAAAGAAAGCAGCTCTTATTTAAAATAGTACATTTTTGCTCTCTTGTGCTAGCAACTTAGCCTATATACTAACAAACGAATAAAGAGGAAATTTTCACAATAAGGAAATATTAATGGCTTACAACTGTAAGAGGAAATCAATACTCTCATGCAGAAAATGTAAAATGACAGCATCTTTGGTCAAAATAACAGCACTAGAGTGCAAAGATAAGAATGACAGGCAGGGGGCGGTGGCTCCTGCCTATAATCCCAGCACTTTGGGAGGCCAAGGCAGGTGGATCACAAGGTCAAGAGACTGAGACCATCCTGGTAAACATGGTGAAACCCTGTCTCTACTAAAAATACAAAAATTAGCCAGGCATGCTGCCATGCGCCTGTAGTCCCAGCTACTTGGGAGGCTGAGGCGGAAGAATCATTTGAACCCGGGAGGTGGAGGTTGCAGTGAGCCGAGATTGCGCCACTGCACTCCAGCCTGGTGACAGAGCAAGACTCCATCTCAAAAAAAAAAAAAAAAAAAAAAAACGCATGATAATCACAGGATTGCTTATGAAACAAAAAATTGAAATCAAGGTGGGATATGGTAAACAAATTATGGTACCTCCTTACAGTGAAATGCTGTGAAGCATTAAACATGATATAACAAATAAATCATGTTTCATCATAATAAAAAAATCACTTAAAAATTATCTTGTGTTCTGAGAAGGCATACAATTAAAAATGACAAATTATAGTTTGGTAAAGAAAACATAAAATTTATGATCTCTGAACTCTTTATCACAAGAGAATGATTTTGTAGCATATTAGATTAATACAATTTTATTGTTACCTTAAAGACTGAGCTTTGTTAACACTGGATCAGATTTTGATAAAGAGTAAACTCCTCTTGCCATGACTTGTATTACTAGCAGAAATTTGACTGCTTCGACTGTTTTGAGTTGTCAAACTACCACACAGTGCCCTGGCAAGTTGGATCTTCCCAAACTTTTCTCCTGAAATAATTTTTTTTTTCTATTTTTTTCTCCTGAAATAACTTTTAACAGAAGAGGAAACTTTGAGTATTTACTTCCTGAAGATCCTGGAGAAGGCAAAAAGCCTCCAAGGTTTTAGAAGTCTTGTGTTTTGTCTTAAAAGTTCATGTACGTTTGGCATTCTAATCTATAGTATGACTTTTTATTTTACTATTACCTGATTACGTTTTAAGTTACTCTCCAATTTAATTAACATATTCCTCAAATACTTTTTGCAAAATCAGCATTGCAGGAAACATGCAACATTTATCCTGTGGTCTTTCCTAGCTGCCAAGTATGTATACAATAAAAAGAACATAGGCTTTGGATTAAATCCTAGTTCTGCCAACTACCTGTCCTATCAACCTGGGCAGGTTACTTGACCTAATTAAAATTTCATTTACTCTTCTGTGTAACAGAGGTAACAATGTCTAGGTGTGGAGTCTTTATGTAAGTGAACAGAGCAACATTCAGCACAGTAAGTTCATTTGCTGAATATGTATGCTTTACAATATAATGAAGATTTACATTTCATCTTGTTTTCAGTTATGACTTGATAATGCATTTTAACTGTCAATTACTATTCTACCAGCTTCTGCTCTATTTAACAATTTAATTAATACCTGTAATTGTGCTTTTCTTAGCTGTTGGCTGGTGATTTGAGCTTTCTGTTGCATCATATTTTCAATTCGTTGGTTGACTTGCTTTTCTTTCTTGAGCTCATTTCCATAAAATTTGGACCCCTATGGAGGAAAACAAAACAAAGCATAAGAAAAATGTCTGAAGGAAAGCATCACTGTAGTATTACCTGGTGGCTAAGAGCACAAACTCGGGAACCAGAAGATTAAATGTAAAACTTAGCTCTACTACTTACGAGCTAGGTGACCCTAAAATTATTTAATCTTTCTACATCTGTTTCTTTATTTGTAAGATGAATTCATTAGTAGTTAACTAAATCATAGGATTGTTGTGAGGCAGTACTTAGCACAGTACAAGCTCTCTGAGATGAACACACATTTGCATTCAGAAAAGAACAGTATGTCCTAGGTAGGATCCATAGGGCATATCAAAGGCCTTAGTGGGTTGGATCATCAGTGATCTGCTGCATTAAAAATTACTCCTTAGAGGCTGGGCACAGTGGCTCACACCTGTAATACCAGCTCTTTGGGAAGCCAAGGTGGGTGGATCACAAGATCAAGATCAAGGCCATCCTGGGTAACATGGTAAAACCCCATTTCTACTAAAAATACAAAAAATTAGCTGGTATGGTGACACGCACCTGTAGTCCTAGCTACTTGGGAGGCTGAAGCAGGAGAATCACCTGAACCCGGGAGGCAGAAGTTGTAGTGAGCCAAGATCACACCACTGTACTTCAGCCTGGTGACAGAGCAAGACTCCATCTCAAAAAAAGAAAAAAAATTTACTCCTTAGAAAGTATTTTCAAACATTTAATGTTAAGACATTGAAGAAAATGTAGAAAATAATTCAAAAAACTGCTCATCATTCCATCAGTGAACATAGTGTCTATCCATGTATCTGGCTGATAGGCATTTAGCTTATTTTTACTTTTTGGCTACAATGAAAAATGCTATCATAAACATTTGTACATAAGTTTTTGTGTGGACATATGTTGTCATTTCTCTCAGGTATGTACCTAGGAGTGGGGTTTCTGTGTCATATGGTACCTCTATATGCAATCTTTTGAGGAAATGCCGGTTTATTTTCCAAAGTAGCTGAACCATTTTATAATCCCATCAGCAATGTAGGAGGGTTTCAATTTCTCCACATCCTTGCCAACATTTGTGACTGTCTTATTTATTATAGTCATTCTAAGCAACAGTAGCATGAATGACATCTGTTTGTGGTTTTTAAATTTGTATTTCCCTGATGACTAATGATACTGACCATGTTTTTTCTTTTCTTTTTACGGAGTCTCGCTCTGTTGCCCAGGCTGGAGGGCAGTGTCACAATGTCGGCTCACTGCAACCTCTGCCTCCCTGATTTAAGTGATTCTCCTGCTTCAGACTCCCAAGTAGCTAGGACTACAGGCACGTGCCACCACGCCAGCTAATTTTTTGTACTTTTAGTAGAGCCAGGATAGTCTCAATCTCCTGACCTTGTGATCCACCCACCTTGGCCTCCCAAAGTGCTGGGATTACAGGCATGAGCCACCACACCCAGCAGATATTGACCACCTTTTCATGTGCCTATTCACATCTTTTGAAAATGTCTATTCACATCTTTTGAACACTTTTTTGATTTGTTGCTTGCCTTACTGCGTTATAGACATTTTCTGTATATTCTGGATGTAAGTCTTTTATCAGATCTGTTTTTTACAAATACTTTACCCAAGGTATGTTGCTCATCTTTTTCTTTTTCTTTTTTTTTTTTTAAAGAAATGGGGTCTCGCTATGTTGCTCAGCCTGGTCTCAAACTTCCAATCCACCCACCTCAGCTTTCAAGCCCTGTGATTACATGCATGAGCCACCACACCTGACCTATCTTTTTATTTTTATTGCTGTCTTTTGAAGTGTAAACATTTTAAACTCTGATGAGGACTAATTCAACTTTTTCTTTTATTGACTGTGTTTTTGGTATCATATCTAAGAAATTTCTGCCTAACTGAAGTTCTCAGAGGCTTTCTCACATTTTCTTCTAAAAGTTGTATTATTTGGGCTGTTTAAGTCTATTCTGAGTTAATTTTGTGTATGGTGTGAGGGTTTTGTTTTGTTTTGCTTTGTTTTTAAGAGATGGGATCTCACTATGTCGCCCAAGCTAGTCTCAACCTCCTGGGCTCAAGTGACCCTACTACCTTGGCCTACCAAAGTGCTGGGGGATTACAGGTGTGAGTCACTACACCTGGCCCTTTTATTTATTTGTATTGCCTGACTGCACTAGTTAGAACTGTTAGAACTATGTTGAATAGAACAGATGAGAGTAGACATTCTTGCTTTGTTCCTAATTTTAGGGAGAAAGTGTTGAGCCTTCTGCCATAAAGTATGATGTTCACTATAGGTTTTTTGATAGATGCCGTTTACTAGATTGAGGAAGTACCTTTCTATTTCAAGTTTGTTAAGAGTTTTTAGCACGAATGGTGGTGGGATTTTTATCAACTATGCTTTTTCTGAGTCTACTGAGATGATTGTGTAGTTTTTGCCCTTTTAATATGGTGTATTACATTAATCGATTTTTAGATTGTGGGTTTTTTTGAGATGGAGTCTTGCTCTGTCATCCAGGCTGGAGTGCAGTGGCATGATCTTCGCTCACTGCAACCTCCGTCTCCTGGGTTCAGGCAATTCTCCTGTCTCAGCTTCCCGAGTAGCTGGGAATAGCTGGGACTAGTACACCACCATGCCCTGCTAATTTTTGAATTTTTAGTAGAGACGGGGTTTCACATATTGGTCAGGCTGGTCTTGAACTCCTGACCTCAGTTGATCCACCCGCCTCAGCCTCTCATAGTGCTGGGATAACAGCCATGAGCTTGGCCGATTTTTAGATCTTAAACCAATCTTGCTTTCCTAAAATAAATCCCGCTTGGTCATGGTGCTTAATCTTCTTGATATATTATTGGAATCATTCCTCTAATATTTTTTGAGCACTTTTGCATTCATAATGGCTTTAGTATCAGGGTGATACTGGCATCACAGGAGTTGGAAAGTGTTCCATTCTTCTCTATTTTCTAGAAGAGCTTCTGGAATATTGATATCATTTCTTCTTTAACTATTTGATAAAATTTACCACAGAAGCCAACATGGCCTGGTCTTTTTTCTTTGATGGGGAGATTTTTAATTACTAATTTATTTCTTTATTTAGATTCTCTATATCTTCTTGAGTCCATTTTGAAAAACTGTAAAGTTCTAGAAATGTGTTCAATTTATTAGGATTTATTTTAAAATACTCTATTCCCCTCTCCAAAAGTCAGTAGGGGAAGGGTAAGACAGATAAAACTATATTTGCAAAAATGTTGGTAATTGTTGATGGTAGGTGATGATTATATGGGGATTTACTTTACCATTCCCTACAGTTTTCTGTGTATTTTAAATTTTCTGGTAAGAACTTTAAAAAAGTAAATTGTATTACCATGGAATAGAAACACTTAGAAAATTCCAATTTAAACAAGATACCATTTATGATAAGCTCACCATACACTAGAGGAATATATATTATTCTATATATGCTTATATACCAATCATGTAATATATATCAATCATATATGTGCCTATATATTTTTAATATGTATCACATAAAATTTATGTGAAAGCAAAGCTTTAAGAATACTTAAGATATTCTTAAAAAAAGAAAAAAGTGTAAAAAAAAAGAAATTGTATTAGCAGATATCAAGACTTATTATAAAGTAGGACAAAAAAAAAACATGTATACATACAAAAATAGGCAAATGATCCAGTGGAACAGAAGAGGAAGCACAGCAGATCAGTAGGAAAAGGATGGACTATTTAATAAATTGTACTGGACAGAGTATAGAGAGGGAGGATCAGATAGGGACATCTAGAATAACCTACATATTATATTTCTTAACCTAAAAACTAGATCCATAGGTTTTATTTTTTCTTTTTTTCAACATTTTTATGATGAGAATATCAAAAAACTCTCAAACACAGAAAAAACATGAATACAATAAACACAAATAAAACTATTACTTAGATTTAACAACTATTAACATTGTAGTGTATATGCTTCATTACAAGTGAAACATTTTAGATATCAAGATATTTAGCTGCTCCACAGAGATAAATTATAGATATCAAGATATTTAGCTGTTCCACAGAGGATTTCAGTATGCATTTTTAAAAATAAGGCAATTTTCCCACTTCATCATAGAAACATTTTCATAGTTAACAAAATTAATGATAATTCCTTAACTTTTTATCTTGGAATTTTCAAATCTGCAAAAGTTGAAAAAATAGTACAATGAACACCTATATATCCTTACCTAGATTCATCAATTAATATCCTGCTACATTTGATTTCTTCCCCAACTTCTGTGTATGTATGTGTGTAAGAGTGTATGTGTACACACACACACACACACACCACAAACACACACTTTGCCCTCCTTTTGGCTAAACCATTCGAAAGTAAGATGCTGTGGGCATCAACATACATTTCCTAAGAATCTTATAGCTTTCATCTTTCTACATGTATATTAATACATGTATTATGTTTGATACACATAGCATATATAACATGCTAATATACATATTATTGATATATAATATATATTAATATTGATATACATTAATACATTAATACATATATATTCTATAATATAGAAATAAAACAAAAAAGTGGTAAAAAAAAATTAAAGAATTTAAAGAATTCTTTTATGTCCTTGAAGAAAGCCATATGTAGTTGACAGTCAACTACATAAAATGAAGCAAACAAAAAATTTCTGCAAAGGAGACACTACCATAAGCAAAGTCAAAAGATAACTAATTATTGAATATGCAAATGTGTACAGAACATATAATCAGAGTTCATAAAAAAGGAAATACAAATAATTTTCAGGATATCAAAAGAGCGGCCAGGTACAGTGGTTCATGTCTATAATCCCAGCACTTTGGGAGGCTAAGGTAGAAGGATTGCTTGAGGCCAGGAGGCTAGCCTGGGCAACACAGTGAGACCTCATCTCTACCAAATAATAAACAGCCAGGCTTGGTGGCATGTGCCTATTATCCTAACTCTTCAGAGGCTGAGGTGGGACGATCACTTGAGCCGGGGAGGGTGAGGCTGTAATGAGCTATTACTGTGCTACTGCACTACAGCCTGGGTGACAGAGTGAGACCCAGTCTCAAAAAAAAAGAAAAGATATGCAATATCATTTTTCATAAGAGGAATACAAAATAATGCAATACTGTATTACCTCAGATTGACAAATACAAATGTTTAGTAATACACAGTGTTGCACAGTTTCAGTATGGTAATACATACTGTCACAGATTTGTCGTGGAAGTATGAATTGACAGAAACACCATGGAGGGTAATTTGGCAATTCATAAAAATCACACATGCATATATTCTTTTGTGCTATGTGTAGCTGGTGGAACAATTCCACTTTTGGAATCTCTCCTACAGTTACACTTGCACATATAGAAAGTTATAAAGTACAAGGTTATTCACTACTTCACTAGTAAAGTTTGTAAAAATAAAAGACTACAAATGCATGTTTATAAACTTTTGGACTGGTTCGATAAATTACATTATATCCACACACTCTGGCATAAAAAGAATGAAGACCTTTAATTACTTGTACAGAAAGACCTGCGAGTTATATTAACTGGAAAAAAAAAAAAATCCAAACACCAAAAAAATTTCTCCTATTGGGGTTAAAAAAAAAAGTGAACAGGAACATGTACTTTTTTTGCTTTTATATGCACATTATATGCATGTAAAATAGAAAGCTGGATGGCAAGAGCAACAGAATAGAAGGGAGATTATTTCACAACCTTTTGTAGTTTAAAAATAATAAATATTAAAATATTAAAATTTTAAATAAAATTGATATTCAAATGATTTTCTTTGAAACAAAGTTAAAAGGTCATTAAATTACACATATCAAAAGAAAAAAGAAACATACCTTTGTGGCTTCCATTATAATTTTGTTAATTTTCTCTTTATCTAATCCTTCCATTCCTGCTTTATTATCATTAAGTCCCATCCTAAGCAGAAGATCATCTTTGTAACTGTCATTCTTTTCCTTTGTGCCATTCATGGTATAAGCTTATCTGAAAAAACATAAAGATAAACACTGCTTTTAAAACCATCTGTGGCCAGATGCAGTGGCTCACGCCTGTAATCCTAACACTTTTGGAAGCCAAGGCAGGTGGATTGCCTGAGCTCAGGAGTTGGAGACCAGCCTAGGCAACATGGTGAAACCCCATCTCCACTAAAATACAAAAAATTAGCTGGGCATGGTGGCGTGTGCCTGTAGTCCCAGCTATTCAGGAAGCTGAGGCAGGAGAGTTACTTGAGCCTGGGAGGTGGAGGTTGCAGTGAGCCAAGGCGGCACCACTGCCATCCAGCCTGGGCAACAGAGTGAGAATCGTCTCCAAAAAAAAAAAAAAAAAACCATCTGTTGGAGGGAGGGGCGGGACACCATGCACATCCATTATGCATCAACAAAAAATGTTTTTAAAACATTAAATGACATAGAAATCAGCAAAACAAAAATTTAAATGACAGTTAAGAATTTTTAGCTACTAAAAATTATTACTCAGATTTTAAAAATTGCAGTTGACTCTTAGACAACACAGGTTTGAACAGAGAGGATCCACTTATATTTGAATTTCTTCCGCCTCTGTCACCCTTGACAGCAAGATCAACCCCACTGCTTTCTCCTCCTTAGTTTATTCAGTGTGAAGACAATGAAGATGAAGATCTTTATGATCCACTTCCACTTAGTGAATAGTAAATATATTTTGTCTCCTTTATGATTTTCTTAATAACATTTTCCTTTCTCTGGCTTTTTTGTAAAAATAGAGGACAGGATACATATAACATACAAAATACGTATTAATCAACTGTATATCTTATTAGTAAGGCTTCCGGTTAACAATAGGCTATAAGTAGTTATGTTCTTGAGTCAAAAGTTCTATGTGAATTTTTGATTGTGCATTGGCAGGGTCCCTAGCACCTGTGGTGTTCAAGAGTCATCTGTACTATCAAAAGATTATGATATTCTTGGAAGGAAGAAAGGAATTAGCATTTTCTGTATGCTCTGTTCTAGCTACTATGCTTAGGGGCACTACATTTGAGGGCCATAATAGCCTTGAAAAATAGATATTATTCTGCACACAAAAAGATAACAAACCTGAGACTTAGAACATGTCTGTTGACACAAATTTGCTCATAAGTGGCAACACATGTGTTGGAACCCAGGTATCAGTCAAAAACTTAAGTTTCCACCCAGATTAAAACATAGTTTAGAAATATGGAATAATACTTCCTCTACTACACATGTTAAGCTCAAGGGCATTTATTATCAACGGTATGCAGATCTCCATTTTTAAGGAAATGAAAAAATACAGAAAAATATTACCTAGAAAGTAAGTCACCTCTAAGGTTAAAAAAATCCTTTCAAGTGATAATTCTTTAATATCTTTATATACTTCTTTATAGTTTACCCTCACATACATTAGCTTATAAAGATATTTTACATCCATGCAAAACAGATCTGGTTATTCTCATATTAGGGAGAAAAAAATGAGAACTTCAGCAAGATTAAATGGATTGCCCATCTGTTAGTAAGTAGAAGAATTGGGATTTGAATGCAAGCCTTCTTATTTCAACTCTGATGCAGACTCCATGACATCATGGTTGCCTCCAATTTGGGGTTCATGTATGCTACAAATAAGTGGTCAGGTGAACAGTTGTCATGAAGCTACAACAAATTATGATTGTGACTTATTTGTATGATTTAGAGAGGGCTCATTTGCTTCACTTTGCCTTGAGGATTTTCCCTTAACAATGCTGCTTCTGTTTTTGGCATCAGAAAAGAATAAAAAGAATTTTGGGACTGTGAATACTGTGGCTATTACTGGTAGTTCCACTAGGAAAAAAAGTGTACATCTTGGTAGTTCCCAAACTTTGCTGCACATCAGGCCCTCTTGGAGAGCTGTGATGCCAAAGCTCATATGATACCAAATAAATCAAAAGGTATGGCAGTAGGCGCTACACAGAAGTATTTTAAAGAGATGCCCAGGTAATTCCAATGTGTCCCAAAGTACAGGAACCACTGGTATAGATGTTGTTTCGCAGTGCCCAGGGAAATATAGGCTAGTTTTTTGTTTTCATCATTTGATTTTTGTTTGTCTTCAACTATCATATTGAGTCCAGCCTCCCAAGTAGCTGGGACTACAGGCACACACCACCATGCCTGGCTAATTTTTGTATTTTTAGTAGAGACGGGGTTTCATCATGTTAGCCAGGCTGGTCTCAAACTCAAGTGATGCATCTGCCTCAGCCTCCCAAAGAGCTGGGATTACAGGTGTGAGCCACTGCACCTGGCTGTTGATGATTTTTAGAGACAGAAGTGGGATGCCCAGGCTGGACTTGAATTTCTGGGCTCAAGTGATCCTCCCACCTCAGCCTCCCAAATAGCTGGGAGGCTGCACCTGGCTGTTGTTGTTTGTTAGAGATAGGAGTGGGATGCCCAGGCTGGACTTAAATTCCTGGGCTCAAGTGATCCACCCATCTCAGCCTCCCAAATAGCTGGGATTAAAGGCACATGCCACAACTCCTGCCTGTCTTGCCCTTTAAATAATGAAATGATAAAAGGTAAAGAAATACTATTAATGCCTTCTCCTTACATATGATACATTAATGCCTTAGCCAAAAAAACTGAGAAGAGGCTGGGTGCGTCATCTCATGGCTGTAATCGTAGCACTTTGTGAGGCCAAGGCAGGGGCATTGGTTAAGCCCAGGAGTTCAACACCAGCCCTGGTAACACAGTGAGATTTCGTCTCTACAAAAATAAAAATCAAAGTAAAAAATTAGCCAGGTATGGTGATGTGCAACCTGTAGTCCAAGATACTTTGGAGGCCGAGTTGGAAGTTTCACTTGAGCTTGGGAGGTCAAGGCCATCATGCCACTGCACTTCAGCCTGGGCAACAGAGCAAGAACCTGTCTCAATGAAACCAAACCTAACCAAAAAAACTCTTAAGAGTTGGTTTTGGTGTTTGAGTCAGAAGAACTAGGCTACCGGCAATCCTGGGACAAGGCAAAATTGTGATAGGTAGTTTTTGACTACCTTCCTGCTTACTGATACCTAATTACTATGAAATTTTTGTCCAGTTTCATAGGCATATGTTTAATATCATCTACATGCCAGTGACTGACAGGTTTATAGCACCAATCCAAATACCTGTCTGACATTTCAAGTTTAACATGTTTAAAAGTAACCTTTTAATCTGCCTCCATCCCCTCCAACCAGCTCCACTTCTGGCCTTCCTGGTCTCAACTGAGGGCAACTCCAATCCATTCCAGTTGCTCATGCAAATAACCCGGGAGTCATTTTTGACCCCTCTCTTTATCATATACCCACATCCAAACTATCAGGAAATCCTGTGGGCTCTGCTTTCAAAGTCACCCTGAATTTAACCACTTCTCATTCTCTTCACTGCATTCACTCTCACCTGAACCACCATTATCTTTTGCTGGATTATTGCAGTAGTCTCTTAAATAAGTCTCTCTGCTTCTGCCCTTTTTTTTCCTATAGCCAATTATCAACACAGTAACACAACGGATTGTTTCAAATCACAAGTAAGATCATGTCATTTTTTCTGCTGAAAACTGTACAGTGCCATTCATCTCACTTGAGAATAAAACCCCAAGTCCTTAAAATGACCTTTAAGGCCCTGTGGAAACTGGATCCCTGCTACATGTCTACTCTCCTGTCTGTCTAATATTCTGCCTTGCACATTATTCTGCAGCCACGCTGGTCTCTGTGCTGTTTCTCAACTCTCTGAGGTACACTGTAATCTTGAGGTCTTTTTGCACTGACTATGTTCTTCTCCTGGAGGGTTCTTATGCCAGATGTCCTCTTGAGTAAGCTCCCACATCTCCAAGCCTTTGCTTAAATGTCAATGAGCCCCTACCCGGATCTCCCTCTTTAAAATTATAGCCTAATTACCCCTCTCACCTGCTCTTCCCAATGCCCTGTTTTTTTCACAGCTCTTTCTAAGGTATGTTATGTTTACTGTCTATCTCCCCAGTGAAAATGTAAGCTCCATGAAGACAGGAAACTCATTTTCTTTTTTTCTTTTCAATGATATATCCAAAATACCTCAAATAATGCTTGGCATAGGGTATTAACAAATAATGCTTGGCACAGGTATCAACAAATACCTTGCGCAACAGGTATTTGTTGAATGAACAATCTCAGTTTATATCATTTTTCTCATTCTCTAATTCACAAAGCAAGATCACATAATCACAATAAAAATCACGAGAAAAATTGTTTTTTTGAAGCTAATAATTTAAAAACACTTGTAGTGTTTTCTTGTTTCAACATTAAACATGTAATGATAAGTATATGTGATAAATAACCTCCCAGTTTACAAACCTTACTTTCCTCAGATATTTGATGTGCAAATTGATTTATCAAAGCCTTTAAGGGACTTGTATTAGAGTATTTAAGAGTCTACTTTACATTTATTTTTATGGAGATTATGTTGTATAATTTACTTGATTAAATCCTTTTCTTTTTTTTTTGAGACAGAGTCTCGCTCTATCGCCAGGCTAGAGTGCAGTGGCACAATACCGGCTCACTGCAACTTCCGTTTTCTGGTTTCAAGCAATTCTCCTGCCTCAGCCTCCCGAGTTGATGGGACCACAGGCACACACTACCACGCCTGGCTAATTTTTTGTATTTCTAGTACAGATGGGGTTTCACTATGTTGGCCAGGATGGTCTCGATCTCTTGACCTCGTGATCTGCCCGCTTTGGCCTCCCAAAGTGCTGGGATTACAGGCGTGAGCCACTGCGCCCGGCAATCCTTTTCAACTATTTGTAAACCAAAGAAAAAACATTGGACAACAAAGGTAATAAACAACATACTGAGGTTTAATATATTGGGATCATTATGAGTTTCTTTTAGCACTATCGTTTATGTCACTGTACTCAGCCTGCTTTTGTTTTTTATTGGTTAGTATTTCTTTTATTTTTTCAGATTTCCAAAATCTCTCATTAGTCCTGATTACCCTTGTTTTTCCCATTAGTTCTTCAATGAGTTTCTTTTTCTAGAAATCCTTAAATTGAAAGTGAGCTCCTAGTAGAAACGATCATATAATACCACAAAGTATAATGATTTTTCTGTATTTTCCTGGAAAAGAAGGTTTCGTTCTATTTCATATGGCAAATAATGTAAGTTAAGTGCCTAGTATAGTATCTGGCACCTAAGTGTTCAGTCAATAGGTGTCATTACTATTAAAGTTAAGGCCAGGCCATGTATAGTGGCTCAGGCCGGTAATTCTAGAACTTTGAGAGGCCAAGGCAGGAGGACTCCTTGAGGCCAGTAGTCTGAGACGACACTGGGCAACAAAACAAGACCCCATCTCCACAAAAAATTTGAGTGAGCTATGATTGTGCTACTGCATTCCAGTCTGGGCAACAGTGAAACCCTTTCTCTAAAATAATAATAATAATAAAACTAAGCCAAATGTGTATAACTGTGAAAATCACTGGTCTCACTTTTCCTAATTCTCTCCCTTTACAATGAAGACCAGAGACTATACAAGGCAACAGGGTACAGTGTAAGTACCCCCAAGAAAAAGCCAAAGTTCACAGATATTACAGATGAATTTTTGTTTTGTTTTGCTTCCAAATTAGTGTTTTTCCTATGATCATTAGGCACTATCATATCCAAAGTCCAAAATCCTATGAATGGACATAACTGTGACTTTATAAACAAGTTTTTTTGAAGAGGAAATGATCAAACATTTTTTTTATTGCATTTTAGGTTTTGGGGTACATTTGAAGAACATGCAAGATTGTTGCATAGGTAGATCAAACATCTTTATAGCCTGATCTTACAGAATATAGTTTGTTTAACTTCAGCTCAGAAGCACAGAGTAATACACAACTCAAAGGAACAAACTCTGAGCATATTGGTCTAAAAGGACGCTTTCTCTGAAAATACTCAAATTCTTTCCAGTCTCATTCTACCACTGACTACTCAGGTTACTAGTTAAAAATATAAGGCACAGCAGTGACTCATGCCTGTAATCCCAGCACTCTGGGAGGCCAAGGTGGGTGGATAACCTGAAGTCAGGAATTCGAGACCAGCCTGGCCAACATGGTGAAACCCTATCTCTAATAAAAATACAAAATTAGCCAGGTGTGGTGGCACACACCTGTAGTCCCAGCTACTTGGGAGGCTGAGACAGGAGAATCGCTTGAACTCGGGAGGCAGAGGCTTCAGTGGACCAAGGCTACACCACTGCACTCCAGCCTGGGCCAAACAGAACGAGACTCCGTCTCAAACTCCCAAAAAAAAAAAAAAATATATATATATATATATATATATATGCGCACACACACACACACACACACACACACACACATATACGCACGTATTTATACACACACATATAAGGCAAACTTTTGTTTCTGGTGGTAAAGATGGAAACCTAGGATTTTTTAATTTTTAATTTTTATTTATTTATTTATTTATTTTTTATTGCAGTTTAGGTTTTGGGGTACATGTGAAGAACATGCAAGATTGTTGCACAGGTACACACATGGCAGTGTGATTTACTGCCTTCCTCCCCATCACCTATGTCTGGCATCTCTCCCCATGCTCTCTCTCCCCAACTCCCCACTCCCTGCTGTCCCTCCCCTATTTCCCCTCAACAGACCCCAGTGTGTGAAGCTGATAGACTGGACAGGGAGAATGTGGCATGTATACACCATGGAATAGTATGCAGCCATAAAAAATGATGAGTTTGTGTCCTTTGTAGGGACATAGATGAACCTGGAAACCATCATTCTCAGCAAACGGACACAACAAGAGAAAATCAAACACCGCATGTTCTCACTCATAGGTGGGTGTTGAACAATGAAACTTAGGATTTTTAAGAAGGAATTCCAAGGAAAAAGTTTTAGTGTGGTAGGGGTCCTCCTACCTATAAAACGCAAATAAAACTATGTAGAAAATATCACACTGTGATCAAAGTCACCTGGAATTAATCTACCAGAAAATATGTAAAGTATACCAAAAGTAATAAGAGAGAAGGGGGGGGAAAAAGGGAGAGAGAGAGGTAAGAAGTATGAATATGAAAAGCTAAACTACAGTAAGTTCCTACGTGGAGCTTGCTTCCTATTTCTA